AGAGATGTAAAGAACAGAGTCCTCCTGAGATATAAATATATGTATATTTATTTATATATAAAAAATTCCAGTGTAATCCACACATGAAAGAATTGTGGTCTATTTCAAGGCTTTTCCTTTCATCTTTTCTGTAATTTTCTGCCAATTCTCCAAGTGCTCCCAGACCACAGACTGAACAAAATGATCTGAACAGGGCTGACCTGCAGCTCCTGATGCTCCTTGTGCCATTCCCCAGGGCCACCCCTGCCCCTGACCCCACAGTGCTCCCTGCCACATTCCCTGTGGCTGCTGAGCCTTTATTTTCCTCTCACAGCAAAGGAAAAGTCCCACCTGAGGAGATGGAGCTGTTGCAAAGACTGGCACAAATGCACTTCCTCCTCACTGGCCTGGCCTGCTGCCTTCAGGACAGGAGAACAGAATAAAATAGAAAAAGAAAGAACAAATAGAAAACTCTTTATTCCCATATCTCCATCCCTTTTAAAGAAACACGTTATTTATGCTGTACTTGCTCCTGAAACTCCACTGGAAAATAAAGCTGGCACTAAGTGGACAATGATTTCACCTGAATTAGGCAGAATTCCTTTCCTAAAGAACTCAGTGTAAGTTATGTCTAAATCTTCCACCTTTAAATGTAACAGAAACTGGTTTTTTCCACCTTATAATTTAAAAATCCATGGTGAAATCAGATTTACACTGGGTCTTTCCATGGATGCACAGATTCTGGGAATCCAGGGAAGTTGTGCCCTCACTTGCAGCTTCCACTCTGGAAGCCTGAACACGCTGGTGTAATTCCAGTTGAATTTCAAGGGGGAAAAGGATGATTGATATGGCCTCAAATGGTGGAATCAAAAAATCTGGTATAGATTAATAGGAGTATTAGTGAAAGCTGGAAAGGAAAACAAGGATTCTTTTCTAATGTGACATGATACTTAAGAACACACATTGTCAGTAACTACAAATGTGTAATGTTTCTCTTTTATTTTGCTGTACTTCTGACACGATTCTCTTACAATGCTTTGCTTATCATCCTCTTGTGAGGTTTATTGTACTTACAAATCATTCCCAGACAGCTTCTTTGCTATCTTTTCATTAAAAAAAAAAAAGAAAAAAAGAAGAAGAAGAAAGTTTTGTGGATAATACATTTTCCCTGCGGGAACTAATTCCACAAAGATATTGACTACAAGCCTGTTGTTGTTTTAAAATATGTGGCCATGTATCAATGGTTGATTCTTCCCCCCAGAGTCACCTTCTGAAGCTTTATGTGTGCACTTCATCACCCAAGCATCCTGAGACCACAGAGGAGAAACTCCAGTTTGTCCTCCCAGGACAGTGCTCACCCCTACCTGGAATTCTTTTTGCCATCAGATCACTGTGGACTCTCCCTGCTATCCATTTTGGGGTCTTTAGGGCTGTGTCCACTCCAGTTCCTTTGTTTCATATATTTTTAGCCCTTCCACTGTGGGATGACAGACTGCAGCAAGTTAGAGCAGGGAGAATATTTGTATTGATTTCCAAATGCTGCAGATTGAGAGCAGATGTACCACGTATTCCCCAAACGTATGTTTTAACTTTCATTTATGTGCTGTGCTGAGCAGCCTGCGAGCCAGGAAATGATTTATATCTGCTAATTGCATGCACTTTGGTAGATTTGCAGCTAAAAATAAGTGGTTTGTTTTTTAATTATAAATGATTTATCCTCTCACGCTGCATGGAGCTAAAACTTCGAAGCTAAAAGAGAACTTGGAGAATCTGCATTTAGTTTCTGCATCTGCCACGGACTTTTTTTGTGTCTTTAGTGGGTTACCCATGTGCCCAGCTCAGAGGAATCTGGATCTTGTGGACATCTTACTTCAGAGGGATGAAGGAAACACTCCTGTCTCGCAGCTGAAGAGGTGTAGCAGCAGTTGCTGCCAAGAGCAGCGGCTCAGTGGAGAGCCTGCAGAAGGGTCCCCTCACCTTTGCTGGATCCAACACTCTGGCAGCTGTGGGGAATCAGACCCAGCTGCTGATCCAGGGGAACACAGCTCCCATTCCCTCTCACCAGAGGCTTCATGGAATGGACTGGCCTGGGGGAGCACAAGGAAACACACGAGGGGTTTTCTGGCAGGCAGCTCGCTGTTAGATCAGTCAGAAGTAACCTGAAATGTCAGCTCAGGGGGTCAGGGCAGGCAAGCCTGGGCTGGTGGGCAGCACTGCAATCCCAGCTGCATGGCCTGGCCTTCCTGCTGGCACAGCTCTGCTATTCCTGCCATTCCCTGCCTCCAGGACAAGTGTCAGGCCCCTGAGGGCACTCAGAGCTCCTAATGAGTCCCACTCCACCTTGCTGGGGTTCTCTTTAAGCTCAGCCCTGGCCCTCTCAGAGTCTGTCCCTGCAGCATCCCTGGGTGGGGCTATGGACCCTCCTGATGCACGGACTGACCTCAGACCTGGCACATTCCCAGCTTCACCTCAGACCTGGCTCATTCCCAGCTTCCCCTCAGACCTGGCTCATTCTCTGTTCCCTCTCAGACCTGTCTCATTCTCTGTTCCACCTCAGACCTGTCTCATTCTCTGTTCCCTCTCAGACCTGTCTCATTCCCTGTTCCCCCTCAGACCTGGCTCATTCCCTGTTCCCCCTCAGACCTGTCTCATTCTCTGTTCCTTCTCAGACCTGGCTCATTCCCTGTTCCCTCTCAGACCTGTCTCATTCCCTGTTCCCCCTCAGACCTGTCTCATCCCTATGGACCTGTCAGCAGCCCCAGTGTCCAGAATGTCCCATGTTGCTGGAATGGCCCCATGAGGAATGGTCCCTGAGGAATGGTCCCTGAGGAATGGTCCCTGAGGAATGGCCCTGGAGCTGCTGTTTTTCTCAGCCTGATCTCACACCTGCCATCATGAACCAGCCTGATGGTCTTGGCTGGAGCTGGGCCTGCCTTGTACACCTGGATTGGGTGTGGAAATTCAAGGACCTAAAGCAGCAGAAACTCCACTCAGGTGCCAGCAGCTGAAAGTCCCTTCCATGTGTCACACCAGATCCTAAAACACATCAACCTTAGCTCACCTCGTCCATTTCATCCCTGTTTGTTTATTGGCCAGTTTTCCTGAGAAATTGGATAATCTCTTGTCCTTTTCCTGGCTGGTGAGAGGAGGTACATGTGCATGTTAGTATCTGTGAGAAGAAGGAGGTTCCAGACCTCAATCTCCTTCCCTAACATGCTGCCAGATGTTTATCTGGGTTTCTTCCTCCTCTTGAAACTCTGTTAGTGTCTGACAAGAAATACAAGATTCATATGGCAGAAGAAAAGCCTAAGGGATCTGATCTAGCAGGAAGCGAGGAGGAAATTCCTTTAATCTTGTCCTTGTTTCCACTCTACTTATGAGCTTTTTATTAAACAGTTGCTGACTTTTGAAACCCTAAACCTAATCTAAGCATCCCAGAAATGTGATCATTCTCCTGGATGGAAAGTAGTTATCACTCCTAGGAGCTTCAACCAGCTTTGGCAATGTCCTCCAACTCCATCAAAAATGTTATCCCCCATTGGCAGGAGGGAACTCCAACCCTCCTGCCCAAAATCTTGGTTTCCAGTTACCAGAGAGAGGGAAAAGCATATTTGAGGTCTGGGCTGGTTGACAAGGTGGGGATGGATCACAGGTTGGACTTGATGGTCTTGGAGGTCTTTTCCAACTTCAACACTCGTGTGATTCTGTGAAAGTGTGCCCCTCAGAGTGCAGTAATCCCACAGACTGCGGTTACGGGATGTGGGGCAGACCTTTGAGAAGGGATGGAAACCCTTCCAGTGTGGATGACCACGCACTGGAATGGAACATCCAGAGAAGAGAGTGGAGTGTCCCTCACTAGAGACATTCCAGAACCCTCTGGACACAACCCCATGCCATGGGCTCCAGGGTGGTGGAGAAGGCAGGCTGGACCACATCACCCGCAGTGCTCCCTTCCAGCTCGATTCTGTGATTCTGTCTGCTCACAGGCTGGACACAATCGATAATCCTGCAGGCGATTCTGTGGAAAGGGTTCCCCTGCAAACGCGACAATCCCGCAGGGACCGACCCTGGGGAAGGGAACGCGACATCCCCGCAGGGACCGACCCTCGGGAAGGGAACGCGACAATCCCGCAGGGACCGACCCTGGGGAAGGGAACGCGACCATCCCGCAGGAGCTGTCCCTGGGGAAGGGAATGCGACATCCCCGCAGGGACCGACCCTTGAAAAGGGAACGCGACAATCCCGCAGGGACCGACCCTGGGGAAGGGAACGCGACCATCCTGCAGGGACCGACCCTGGGGAAGGGAACGCGACCATCCCGCAGGAGCTGTCCCTGGGGAAGGGAATGCGACATCCCCGCAGGGACCGACCCTTGAAAAGGGAACGCGACAATCCCGCAGGGACCGACCCTGGGGAAGGGAACGCGACAATCCCGCAGGGACCGACCCTCAGAAGGGAACGCGACAATCCCGCAGGAGCTGTCCCTGGGGAAGGGAATGCGACCATCCCTCAGGGACTGTCCCTCAGAAGGGAACGCGACCATCCCGCAGGAACTGTCCCTCAGAAGGGAACGCGATCATCCCGCAGGAACTGTCCCTCAGAAGGGAACGCGACATCCCCGCAGGGACTGTCCCTCAGAAGGGAACGCGACATCCCCGCAGGGACTGTCCCTCAGAAGGGAACGCGATCATCCCGCAGGAACTGTCCCTCAGAAGGGAACGCGACAATCCCGCAGGGACCGACCCCAAGGAAGGGAACGCGACATCCCCGCACCGCCGCCCTCACAGCTCTGAGGGGCGGCTCTGAGGGCGGACAAAATGGCGGCGGCGGGCGGCGCGGGCGGCCGCGCGGGGGCGCTGCGGGGCCGGGCAGCGCTGACAGCGGGCCGGGCTGAGGGCGGCGGGCCCGGCCCCGCTCCCTCCCCGCCCGCGCCGCCTTCCCCGCCCGCCCGCCCGCCGGCACAGCGCGGGACGGAGGAGCGGCGGCCCCGCGGTGGATGCGGGAGCAGCGCCGGCTCAGGAATGCAGCAGCCGGGCGGCGCGGACGGGAGCCTCCCGCTGCTGCTGCCGCTGCTGCTGCTGCTGCGAGCGGGGAGCCGCGCCGAGCCCGGGGACGCCACGCAAGGTAAGGGGGACAGGACAGGGCGGGCGGTGGTCCCGGGCGGGATGAGGGAGAGCAGCCGGGCCGGCACCGAGGGGAGCCCCGCGCCGCCTCCCGTTAACCAGCGCGGGGTTTTATGCTCGGTCCGTGTTTAATTGCTTCGTAAAAAAGCTCTTTCCAAGTGTTGGGGCCGGTGAGCGTTCCCAGCGTAAGCATTGCCAGGCGGTCCCGCTTTGCGGTCCGTGATTGATGGTGCCCGAGGTGTGTTACCGCACTGGGGACTCGGCCCTCGGATCCGCTCTCAGTGCCTGTTTCGCCGTCCCACCCGCTTTGTACTCCTAAAAAATGTTTATTTATTTATCTGTTTATTTATTTGCAACCAAAAAAAGCGTCTCCGCTTTGCTTTTAGAGAGTGATATTTATCCCGCGATCCTTCTGCTCTATCAAGGTCCTGACTCCAGCCTTTTTGCGAGGGATTTATGTGTAAAACATAGCGTAGCCCAGGCATAAAGGGACCTTGGATCTGGGATAGCTGGAATTGGAAAAAGCCTGATTCCTTCAGGCCAAGTCAGTAAAAAGTGAGCAGTGTTTTTGGACGCCTGCATGAGAATTTCAGTGAGAGTTGGATGTACGTGAGCTCCGGCTCCTCCAGAGTGGTTTGTGGTGGGTACTTCAATCACAACCCACCTCGGAGAAGTGCTGCTCGATAATATGCCTGCATTTAATAGTTAAAGAAGTGAAAAAAGTGAATGCCAAAGAGAGAAAGTTGATGGGAGAAGCCAAAATTGTAAATACTGTGGGATAACTGCCTTTAAAAATGTGCCCGTAGCTAACAGATAAAACTCTCTTGTCGTGTCCCCGAGCCTGGGTTCGTGCCGCTGTCCCCGAGGATGCCGTTCCCGGCACTGTGAGAGGGAGTGGATCTCTTGGAATGACTTCCCCATGTCCCGGGAGCCTCGTGGTGCACATTCAATGGCTGAATGAGTTCTAGCTCGGGGTGGGAATTCTTCATGACATCTCAATGGGAAAATTTTCAAAAGTCGTTTTCTAGTGTCTCCAGGGAGTGCTGGCTGTGCTTAACAAATAGCTGTATTTTTTAAAGGGGCAAAAAAAGCTATTTCCCCCCCTGGTTTTTCAGATAGTTTTAAAGCTTTAGGGCAATACAAGTTTTTTGGGTTTTTTTCATGTTTCAAAGAGCCTGGAAGGGAAAAATAAAACCCCATTAACATAAAGCAACTGATCACATTGGGTCTGAAACAGACAATTGCTTATTTTCTGTGCATTCTGCTGGGAAGTACCTATCAGAGATTGAATTCACCTTTATGTGAATATATTCATATTATGTAATTATAAAAATTAACATGTGAATATATGAATATTGTCATTATATCTTAATGTAATCATTACAGTACAGCTCATGTAGTACAAGTTACACCAAGAAGGGTTTCAGCTCGATATAAGAAAGTGGTTTTTTATAGTGAGAACAATAATTCACTGGAATTACCACCCTAGGGATGTGGTGGAATCCTCGTGGCTGGAGGTTTCCAAGGTGAGAGTGGATAATCCCAGCCAGGCTCCCTTTCCCACAAAAGGCTGGACCAGGTGATGCTTCCAGTTCCCTTCCAGCCTGGACTGTGATCTGTGATTATGTACAGTTACTTTCCACAGTGAAGTATTTCCTGTATTTTGAATAATATCTTTGGCAAATGCTTACAGCGTGGATTCATGGGCAGATCAAGTGATTTATTTCTTTTTCATAGATAGACATCTATTACATGTTCAACCACATACTAGGTTTTGTGGAAGAATAAGGGAACCTGAACATCCAACACCAATTAAAAAAACCAAACAAAGATAAAAGCCTGTTCTAAAATGTTTTACAGCTTTCTTTAAGGTGACTGTAGTGGGTGGGTAAATAGAATTTGCTCTATCAGAAACCCAGCCCAGATGGAATCTTCAGTCCCTACCCTTTAACCCTGACATGTTCAGAAAGAGAATGAGGACCCCTGTCTCCTGCTGCTGCCTTTTTGTCCATGACCTTTTCTCGTAGGGAGCAAAAAGCAACCCCAGAAGCTTTGTCCATTCACTGCCTTTAGGGTGCCCAGGGGCTGGCCCGAGCGTTCCAAATAAAACCACAAAGTTAATGTCAATTTAAGGAACAGCACCTCTCCAGCTTGGATGTTTCCTGCAGCATGTGGCTCTGGATATTCCCGGTTCAGCTCGATTATTGTTCTTCCAGATCGTGGAACTTTGTGAGGAGTCACAATGAAAGAAGTGTGAGTAATAGAAAAACATTTTAAAAGCTTGGAGTAAACCCACAGATCTCGAGATTGTGTTTTAGATTGTAGGGGTGCTGCTGATTTCCTTGAAAGTTGTGAGATAAAGTTCCACAGCTCTTGATTAGTCCCTGTGGTTAATTGTTTCATCCCTGGGTCACGGGCTGCTGCTTCAGCCTATCCAGGAATGAGTTTAAAAACAAACAAAATGCTTTTGTTGCCTTAAGCCTCTAAGAGGATGAGGGTAGATGTCACTGTTTGAGGTTGTAGCCTTGTATTTCTTGACAAAAGTGGCTTGAAGTAGCAGCAAATTATCTTCAGGACATCGTTTCTTTGTTTCCATAATTAACTTCTACTGAAACTGCTGTGTTAATTACGTCCTCGCCGGGATTTAAAGTGTTGCAAATGAGAGTTAGGCAGGGGAGTATTTTAAAGCTTGTGTATGGATTTAAGTAGGCAAAGAGAGGGGGAGAAAAGGGTTTCCCTGAGGTGTGACACTGGATCCTGCTCTTTAGAAACAGATGTAGAAATCCAGCAGTCTGCTGGGACTCCAAAGAGCACCTCAGAGCTGAAAACTCTTTTTAAAAATCTCTAACTAAATGCAGCTGCTTTACACACAGCGATTGTCTTGCAAGCCAGAAGCAAAGTTAACTCAGACAAAAGAAAAAGCGCAAACCTTTCCTTCCCCAAGCCCTGGCAACAAGAATCCAGAGAACCCCTCAGTGCTCCTGCACTGCAAGCTGGCTGTTGCTGTGAGCAGCGTTGTGTCTCCAGAAGCAGGAGTTGTTTGTCCGAGGTGTTTTCTGCTGCCTGCCTGTGCTCTCCCTTGGGTGGTGTCCCGGAGCTGCTGCTGCTGGCACAGCTGGAGAGTCTCACACGGGCCGGGCCGAGGTGCAGCTCTCACACCCAGCCTGCATTGTGACACGCTCCCCCGTATCCCGGTACTTAAACGAGCAGCAAATCCGCTTCTTTTGCTCTTAAGCTGCTGTCTTTGATCCAGGTTCCTGCTTTTAAAAATGAGCAAACCCCGTGCTGTGTCTGGAAATCAGCTCCCCAAAGCTGAACTCAAAGAAATTCTGGGTTTGCCCCAGCCCCAAAGGGTTGAATAATGAAGGGACTTTGCAGGGCTTCTCTTGTTTCTTTTTCATTGTAATCAAGGAGATATTGAAAGTCAACGAATCTGCACATTTATAAATGGAACAGCAGTGAAATGAGTAAATGAGAGCAGTTGTCAATGAATCTTTGTAAATAACAACAAAATGCTGCTGTTAGCTGAGGATGCTTCTGTGGTTTCACATCCTTTATGATGAAGTGCTTTACAATTCCTGAAATTCTACATTTGCTGTAAAGTTTCATTTGGTCAGGTGCTGCAGAGGAAGTTACAGATTTTTGGTTGATTTTTTTTTCCTGTCTGTTTACAAGCAGAGTCACTGCTGTCCTTGCTGGGAGTGTGGCATGTGAGAGGCTTGGACACGTTTAATGTCATTGAATTGGGCTGGAACGACAGGATAGCCATGGGGGGCTGCACTGTGAAGTTTGCCAAGGTGGAAAAATTAATCATTTCAGCTTAAATATATACCTATGTTATACTAGTGTGTGGTGTGATGATAAAGCTCTAAATATTGCTATTATTTAATAGTGAAGTTCTTTGAAGTCTGCCAGGGAATAGAATGTAAAAGAAAAGAACTTGCCTATATTTGGACTCTAATGCAGTGCAATATTGAAAATGGTGCTCTGCCAAAGTCAGGCAGCTTGGGGAAAAGAAGTAGCTTGAGAAAGGAACCCTTTAGTGAGGAAAGCAATAACCTCAGCCTGTTCCATGCCAGCATCCCAGTGTGAGGCAGATTGCTTTCCAGGATCTCCTCCTGAAGTGGAGACACTGCAGTGCCACTGGTTCCAAGTAAATCTGCAGGGCAGGAGATGAAAGGAAGAGCTTGTGGAAAGAATCCCATGGTTCCTGTTGGTGGGATGGACACAGATTTGGAGGATGATTGTCAGGTAGGATTCCTGAGGAAATGATGGTGCAGAGTGGTCACCAAGAGGAGCAGAGGGCATGGGGGAGGGACTGCCAGGGATAAATGGGCTGTGGGGCCAGGGCTGTGTGTGCAGAGCTGCCCTTTCTCTGCTGGTTCACTCCATGGAGCTCACACCCCGGGCAGGAGCAGGAGAAAGCTCAGGTCGAGGCTGCTTTGCTGCTTCACCAAGTTCCATGGGGTTTTTGGGCTTGATACCCTGTTGGAACAAACCCCTCTGGAGAGCTGAGTGGGGTCTGGCTGATCAGAGAGGGTAAAGGACAGCACAGAATGGTCCTGCAGGACATGTCCTGGGTCATGGTGCTGGTGGGGGCTGGCTGCTGCCTCCCTCTTGGCTGGGATGTGCCAATTTGGGGGTGCTGGTCCAGGCCTGGCTTAACCAACCCTGGCTTAGCGCAGCTGAGATTTTCTGATCTCTTTGCTCTTGTTACCAGTGGCTCTGGGAAATGGCTGAGGCTGTCAGGGGAGGTTTGGACTGGCTATCAGGAAAAAGGCTCTTCCCCCAGAGGGTGTTTAGGCACCACACAGGCTCCCCAGGGAATGGGCACAGCCCCAAGGCTGCCAGAGCCCCAGGAGCATTCGGACAATGCTCTCAGGGACAGGGTGGGATTGTTGGGGTGTCTGTGCAGGGCCAGCAGTTGGACTGGATGAACCTTTGGGGGCCCTTCCAGCTCAGGATTCTGTGATTCTATGATGTCACATTGGAGACAGGAAT